GTTTAGTCCCTGATGAAGGCGGCGACTTGGGTCGGCGGCGGGAGGTTGTCGGCGACGGTTCCGTAGTTCACAATCAAAATCAAATAGAACACTCATCTAAATTAAACGGATCTCAAAACGTTGAGATGGAGAAGGGATTTATACAAAATTCAATTAAAATTTTAGGAATTGTGACCCTCCTCTGCATCGGCTGCTTCGAACGTTTGGCAAGCCACGAGTTCCGGCACCTTATCACCTGCAGCAACACCTTCAGGGGCCCCGGTAGCTGGGGCAGCAATAGGTGCTTGCTTGTGGAACTGCTCTGCTAGCTTCTTCAAATTCTCCAAATTATCAGGGCCCAACTAGTGAATATTGAGGAAGAATATCCTGCAACTTCTTGGTCGGAGGGGAAAATACGCTTTGGGTATTAAATCAAAATAAGGAGAAAGAGAAAGGTGGACATGAGGAAGAACAGATCCACCCATTTGCTTCAGTTATTTGGATCCACTCGTTTGCTTTTTTCTTTTTTTACTTATTTTATCTTTTACTCTTATTTTACTGATTTTTTCTTTTTATTTTAATTATTTCTGGTTCAAAATGCTCAAACTCACGCTCATTATCCGCATGAACTACACCACTTTGTCCAGCTCAACCATTATTTTGTCACATGTGCTTGGTCAACGGTCAGAGGGGTTTAAATAATAGGTTTTGATCAAGTTAAAGTGTCTGGATAAAAACAAGTGAAGTTTGGGGACCGACATGACAAAGTGGAACGAATATAGGTGTCATTTAGGCCATTCTGTTAATAAAAAAGAGTACTTTTGAAACTTTGAGCTAATTGCAAGAAAAACTACTCATAGCTTGGTATTCGTTTGGTGAAAAAAGAAAATTCTTTCGTATGCCTGAAAAAACAAAGATGTTCACGGCAACTCGATAATTAGCGTTTTTTTAACATTGAATTTTCCAAATTAAGAGCAGACATTAAATCTGTGATGATAGGCAGTTTGAAATTGTCAACTTATTAACAAACAAAAATAGACGAATATAAAAGTAATTAATTTGTGTTATGAAACAATAAAAGAACAAGAACAATATTGCAGAGAAAGAGAAAGAGAAAATTCTTATTGAATTTCGGGATGAATTATAATGGAATAGAACCCTCTATTTATAGGGAGAGGGTGACTTAGCCACCAAGTAATAAACCCTAGAATCTTTCTAAATATAGACATTCACCATAAATAAAATTCTATTTATAACACTCCCCCTTGAATGTCTATTCAACAGACAATGTGCCTCGTTAAAACCTTAACTAAAATAAAACCCAGTGGGAAAAAAATTCTAGAGAAGGAAAAAGAGTACACATATCTAACAATACGCCTTTTGGTTGCCTCGTTAAAAACCTTGCAAGGAAAACCCAGTGGGACAAAACCTTGTAAGGGGAAAAGAGTGCAACGCGCATCAACTCCCCCTGATGAGAGCATTAATTCACATCCTTGAGCCTTCACATTCCAATCATGTGTATCATCTTCAAAAGATCATTGGTAGAGATTTGATAAGCAAATCAGCCATATTAACTTGAATGAATATATTGCACCTTGAAATCATCATTCTTGATAGAGATGAATTGTCTTCATATGATCTTGTTGGAATCGTCAGTTCAATATCTTCACATAGAGGTGAAAACTCTTGCTATCATATTATCATGCATATAATTATAGCAAGATACATTTGTGCACAAATTGCACTAAGGAAGTGGTACTTCAAGATCAAGAATTGTATATGCTTCAAGCAACTTAAATCCTTCATGGATCGTCATATAAGTATAGTCATATAAGTCATATAATAGACTTAGATGCATATCAAGTTTTCATGTCATGCTAGACATATAAGATATCGAAAACTGATTGTACATATCATTAGCTTTATACTTTCAAGTGTTTGAACTACATGTTCAAAACTACATGTCTTTCATATGAAACCAATTCTATTCGAAATTGTTTCTCCAGACTTAAGATCCTCATATATATTTGGTGCTATTATAGATGTCGTCGACAAACATTTAATATCGGTTCCAACCTTCTTATTTTTCATAAAGACATAACATAGAGATCTCTTCATTCATATATTCACGTACCTGAATCTCTCATGAGATTTTATAAAGTGTTATGTCATGTGATCTTCTAGATCACTTGCCTCCTTTATTATGATCATTTAGATCATTTGCTCATCTTCTTTATCAAGAAGTTTATTCGAAACCGATTTGTCTATACGTTTCAAGCGTACCATAGACTTTGTCCTTCTAGGACTTAATAGGAGCATTTGCAATGAGAATATAGTTACTTTCTTTGGGTCAGCAAATGCGTCTGGCATGCTTTGCAATATATTGCAACTGAATTATCCTTTTATGAACTTCAAGTTCATATTATCTTATTCGAGGATCTAGATGTATAAATGATAATTCATTCCACGTAACCTTTTCTCAACTGTTTATCATGTCTCCCCCTCGTGTTAGAAAAACTGACTTGTTTTCTCAACTTTGAGAACCCATCTTTGTGCGTTATGGTGTTAATCAAAATATACACCGCACATCAATAATAATGAGATAGAATTATTTGGTTCCTGACCCTGAAACCACTTGTGAGGGGAGAATGTAATATACTTTCGTATATAACCTATATCAAACTGATATAGATAACTTTGTTCTCATAAGCAATTGTTTAGCTATTAAGTGGAGGCACTCAATAAATCATTTTGCTAAACCAGCTGTGATGTAGACCAACTTATCAAGATGAACTTCTTGAATAGAAAATCTGGAATATGCTCTAAATTAAATTATTGAGCAAGTTACCTCACAAACACCATGTTGCAGGTTAATAATAACCGCACATGTAACCATCTCATAGATGCATCTTATGTGGTATACATGGCAGGTGAATGAGCCCATATTCACCTTTGATATTTCCAGCATTCATGGGATTCAATCCCAATTTTAGTTGGTATATTAATTAATGAGAACAGCCAACATAAGAGAATTCGTAAAGAACTTTCTAGTTCTTTAATATTTACCCATGTGAATTCTCTTTAAATTTTGCACATCATACTTGAATTAACATGGCTAAACCAATTATGCCAACTGGATAAATTATCAATATTGATAAACTTCAGGTTTACACCATGATGTGTGCAATTATGAATAAACTCCAAGTTTATTATGATATGGGTTTTTATATCAATAAATATCCACTTCATTGTGATATTCTTTTGTTTATGTAGTACAAATTGGAGAATAAAGCGGGTAGCTTTTCACATACATATTACCCCGCTACAAGTTGTAGTAATAGAAGATATTAAATCTTTCCTTTATTTATAGTCTCAATATAATCAACCGCTTTCGCGTATACTTTGAAAACTGAATAAGTTTCTTTGAGACTTACTACAACACAATACCTTATTGGTAATCAATTGTTTTCTCCAAAATAGTATAATTGGCTCTTCTAGAGCTCTCAATTAATTTGGTACTACCACATATTCATCAACGTCCATATGGTGAATATCTCTTTTAAAGAGAAAGTTATACCATTATGATTATGGTCAAAATTATATGCAAGATCTGTTTCTTGCATTACCGTTGTCTTTTAACAATCACAATGCCAAAATATTTCGGCGTACAATAGGTACGTGACCAATGACTTCATACCATAATAATGACATTATTTTCATATATCATCTCAAACCTCCTTTTAGAGGTGAGTGCGGTATATTCACTACCACTAGCACGTTCATATTCTTTGAAGAATGAATATGTATTCATAAATCAGATGTTGTCACATTCACATCATGAATGGACCATAAGCATCTATATGTGCTTTATAAAATCTCATGTCAAATCGATGACAAATATTTTTCACAGAGTGAAATATTATTTTGAGAATCCTTATTATTCTCATTATCACAATGATGACGATTATAATTTCGTCTATTGCCACGTCCACATCCATTGATACCTTCACGGTAATAGTTTTGTCTTCTTTCAGACTTATCACATATTGCTATCACATTCTCTTAAGGGAATGAGAATGAAGCAAATTCAATGGGACGGGTTTCCACTTCTTTGCCCACAATCATACATGAATTTGATCATGGCAAGGCATAGAATTTTACCACTTCAGGTGGTTATAATTTCTTACAAACTCCATTAGAGTTATAATCAAACTTTGTTGTCTTTGCTTGTATTTAAAATCAAATTATAGAATTTCAAGAATTTAAAAGAGAAAAATAAAGTAAAATACTTACCTTAAATCCAGAATTTGATCATGAAGGAAGTTCATGGAACAATTGACAATCATTATACTCAATCCCAAAGCTTCTACTCAATTGGTTAGAGTCTCGTGCTGATAACGTGTTATGAAACAATAAAAGAACAAGAACAATATTGCAGAGAAAGAGAGAGAGGAAATTCTTATTGAATTTTGGGATGAATTACAATGGAATAGAACCCTCTATTTATAGGGAGAGGGTGACTTAGCCACCAAGTAATAAACCCTAGAATCTCTCTAAATATAGACATTCACCATAAATAAAATTTTATTTATAACAATTTGAACTTTACTATTTTAAAGAAACCCCCTAAAGAAACAATTCAATTTTTCTCCAATCCAGGCAACCACCTTTTAACCAAGTCGCCTGCACTCCAAGTAGGGGAAGCAATTAAGGAAACCTAATATTAATATATTTAGTAAATCCCAAAATCATCCTTTTTCCTATAAAACAGAAATCACTTTAGCCCTCCAATCTCCTCGTTTATTGTTATTTCTGTTTTAATCAAAAGATTAGTGCAGAGAATATTTTTTTTAATATTTCTACTCCTCTTTAGGCATTGTTTTACTGTCGAGGGAGCAAAGAAGAGAAGACAATTAAAAAGTACAAAAAACAATTATATTCTCCACCGTCAGTTTTTGCAAAGAAAAAAAAAAGGAAAAATAAGGAAATTTGTAGTGCTATAAAAAGCTCGTAAAAGTAGTTTGTCCATCACCATGCAAAAGATGGCGGAAACTAACAATAGAGTTCCTTACACCCAATTACCGGCGGAGGACAATAACACCTCCGGCAATTCTCCGGCCATATGCCGGCTACGACCCAAAAGAGTGTCGTTTATAGTATTAACAGGGCTGGTGGCAGCTTTGTTATTATTTGTGGCAGTGAAATATGGCAATAACGAGGCGGAGGATGTAAATCCAGGGCCAGTGCCACCACAAGAAACGGTGTGCAACATGCTTGGTTCTAATTCAATGCCGTTGACCAGCATGAGGACGGTGGCGCGTGGGGTGGCAGAAGGTGTCTCCGCCAAATCACGCGGTCGTTTCTTGGGATTACGGCCGTTTCCATGGACCAAACAAATGTTGGCTTGGCAAAGAACATCCTTCCACTTTCAACCTAAGAAGAATTGGATGAATGGTTAGTAATTCTTTTTCTCTTATGTTATTTTCATAAATCAATTTTGTTTTTATTAAACAATAAACCAACATTACTTATTTGTCAATTTTTAACAATACCGCCTTATGCTTGACGATGTTAATTAGAAATTTATATACAATGAATGATTATCCCCATTCCATTACATAACCATGCGTTATATGTCACAATTAATTAAACACTTGACATGACATTATATTACGTTTATAGTTTAAGAAAAGCTTAGTATTGATATAAAAGAAACCATTACAGCTTCGAATATGGATACCTTGTCTTTTTCTTTGCCTAAGATGGATCTTTGATTGCAAGAACAGAGTTTGAATTACTCAGGGAAAATATGAAATCGTTTTGGAACTTATTTGCTTATTTATTTATTTTTTAAGGCGAACATTAATGATTTATTCTTATTTGGCATGTGTTGGATTCTTTGGCTTCGATTGCATTGATCACGGAAATTGCCTGATTCTGTTCGTCAGATCCTAATGGTAAGTCCATATTTTCAGCTGTTATTATTATTAATTATTAATTTGTTTTGATATATTGGAAACCATCGACAAAACGGGGACCTCAAAACATACTAGTCGTGGTAGTTTGTAAGTAGACAGATTGTCAATATGATGAAGACAGTTGTCTTTAGACAATTGCATGTGAATTTTCTAGGAGCAAACACAAATTCCTAGAATAGTAAACAACTTCAATCCTGTCTGTCCAAATAGAACCTAGCTACTTTTGATCCACTACACCTTTTTCATTCAACACTGGATCACTTATTTAATTATACACTCAAACTCTTTCCATAACAGCCCCATCTGTTCCGATATTTTTTTAGCTTTAATAGTGAATGGTTGTTATATATATAACAACATTTAACGTTTAAATATTTTTTGATTGTTATAGATAAGAATTATCTAAATATCAATAATTATTTCTTTTTTCATGTTACATATAAAAGATAAAAAAATTATTCAAATTTAAAATCTCACAAGATATGCATATTTCACTAGTTAACTATTGAAGAAAGATAATACATTATTAATAAATTCATAACTAAGAGTATAAAGATTTAAACTCTAAGGTAGACATTTTGAGGCTTCCTAAAAAATAATTTTTTTCAAGATTGATGGAAGAACTTTGTAATTATAGCTTGTTTCGTAGATTACATTCTCTTACTAGCGATATAAAGCTTGAATTGGCAAAGATTCATGTCCAAAATTTTAGCAAAAAGGTATTCAATAGTATTTCCTTGAAGACAATCTAAGAGCTTAACCGTTAAATTTTCTATCTAAATATTTTTTGGAATTTGTCAAATAAAAAAGATATCATGTGCAAATCTAATCTTATATCTTATGCAAGATAGAAACTTTATTTATTTTTAGAATTATTATTAGCAATCTTAAAGATTTTATATGGCTGTTATAGAGTGGTAATTTTACAAACAGCGTTCTGCTATAAATATGGTTGTTGTTGTTATAGGGTAAAAAGTTATTATAGAGAGGTAAAATATAACTTAAAAAATCGATTCTGAAGAAAATTTGGCTTTTACGGTAAATAATTGTTATATATGGATGATGTTATAGAAAGGTCTGGTTGTATGTGACCTAATTTATTGAGATATTTTTACATTAAAGCGCTTTCATATTTACACTTCAATATTCATCATACAAAAAAAAATGTATTTCAAAGTTATACTTCTATATTTCATTCATTTCTAACTCCAATTTTAAAAAAATATTTTAGGTCCATTATTCTACAAAGGATGGTACCATTTGTTCTATCAATACAATCCAGAGGCTGCAGTATGGGGAAATATTGTATGGGGACATGCAGTGTCAAGAGACTTAATTCACTGGCAACACCTTCCGGTTGCTATGGTTGCGGATCAATGGTACGACATTAACGGTGTATGGACCGGGTCCGCAACCATTTTACCAGATGGTAAACTCGTCATGTTGTACACCGGATCAACCAATGAGTCAGTACAGGTTCAAAATTTAGCGTACCCGGCTGACCCATCGGATCCTCTCCTAAGAAAATGGGTCAAATATGAGGGCAACCCGGTTCTTGTACCACCACCCGGAATTGCTGCTAAAGATTTTCGTGACCCCACCACTGCATGGACCACACCACAAGGCAAATGGCGGATTACTATTGGTTCAAAGGTTAATAAAACTGGAATTTCATTGGTCTATGACACTATTGATTTTAAGAAGTTTGAATTGTTGGATGGGGTGCTCCATGGTGTACCGGGTACGGGTATGTGGGAATGTGTGGATTTTTACCCGGTTTCGAAATTTTTTGAAAATGGGCTTGACACATCAGATAATGGGCCTGCAGTAAAACATGTGTTAAAGTCCAGTCTTGATGATGATCGAAATGACTATTATGCACTTGGAACTTATGATGCTGTGGCTGGAAAATGGATTCCTGATAATCCCACCATTGATGTTGGTATTGGATTAAGATATGATTATGGAAATTTTTATGCATCAAAAACATTTTATGACCAAGAGAAAAAGAGAAGAGTCCTTTGGGCTTGGATTACTGAAAGTGATAGTGAAGCTGCTGATATTTGCAAAGGTTGGGCATCACTTCAGGTACAATTCAATTGTGTCTAAGACATTTTAGCTAGCGTTTGGACATAGATTTGGTTGAAACATAAAAAAAAGTATTTTGAAATTGTGTTGAAAAATAATTTTTGGAAGTTGAAGTTATGTTTGAATATGCATTTTATTTGGAAAAAAAACAGTTCTAATTTTTTGATTTCACCTAAAAACTGCCCTAAACCAGATTTTAGGAAGTTGAAAAAATATTGAATTCTTTTTCAAAAACTGATTATATTCTATGAATAAACAATATTATCAAAAAAATTTAAAAAAAAAAGTTGCCAAAATCTATGACCAAACAGGAGCTAATTTCCTTTTTTTTTTTTTTTAAACTTCATTTTGTCATATTTGAATTTTGGTCTCATTTAACACTTTGGTAGCGTGTGATGTAAAACAGCCTATTCCAAGGACTATAAAATATGACAAGAAGACAGGAAGCAACATAATTACTTGGCCAGTGGCGGAGGTTGAGAATTTGAGATTAAACAGCAAGGAATTCGATAAGGTGGAGGTCAAACCAGGGTCCATTGTTCCACTAGAAGTTGGCACTACCACTCAGGTTTGTTGATTGAATTTAACTTATATACACTGACTGCATAAAAGATTAACAGTGTATTTTAAACTATTATAGCACGTAACATGCTAATGTTCGATAAGTTTAACTTACTATAATTTAAATCATTGATGGTTACAGTTGGACATAATGGCTGAGTTTGAAGTAGACCCTAAGGTCTTGGAAAGATTAGAAGGAAGTAATGCTACATATGAGTGCAGAAGCAGCGGTGGATCTGCTGAACGTGGTGCCTTAGGACCATTTGGTTTATTGGTTTTAACAGATAAGGGTTTGTCCGAGCAAACTCCAATTTACTTCTACATTACAAAAGACGTTGCTGGAAATTTCACCACATTCTTCTGCAATGATCTCACCAGGTTCTAATTTCTCTTCTCTTGTATTATCAACTTATCATTTAAAAGGGCAGCCCGGTGCACTAAGGTCCTGCTATTCACGGGTCCGGGAAAAGGTAGGACAACAAGGGTTTATTGTACACATTTTTGCAAGAGGCTGTTTTCACGGCTTGAACCCGTGACCTCCTGGTCATGTGGCAGCAGCTTTATCAAGTTACATTAATGCTCCCCTTCTATCAACTTATCATCTCATCAATGAAATTTTAGCCCCTCATCCCCTCCCCACCAAACGAAGAAATCGGAGAAAACCTTTATAGGTTCAGTGCTTAATGTCAGTACGAATTCGGGATTTTGAGTCAGTGGGTCCCATTCTATATATGTAAATTGTACAATATTTTTTCCCACACATATCTATAGTCCGAACTAGATGCAATGAGTTCTGTTGAACCGGACAACCGGTTGTATCTAGTCTGAATCCGCAACTGCCTAAACACATCTTTCTCATAACAACCGAGCTTTCCAAGAGCTTAAGTATTTCTCATGTCCATACTTTTATCTAGGGGTGTCAAATGGGCGGGTTGGGTCAATTTTGGGCGAGTCAAAATGGGTTGAGTCAATAATTGGGCGGGTCAAATGACCCTCCCAAAAGTTACTTGGGCTAAGATGGGTTGGGTCAAGATGGGTTAAAATTCGAGTCATAACCCAACCAGCCCAACTCTTATTAAACTTTAATTAATATGTGTTATTTTCTTATTAATTGTATAATTACTAAATAAGATTTTTTTGCTTTTGTTATGGTCATATTTAAAATATTAAACAAAAAATAAAATTATTTCTAAGATATTTTGACAAACTTACTCATGGATCAATTTTGGCTAAAAATTAGCCCAACTTTAAATGGGTTGAGATGGGTTGGATCAAGATGGACTAAGTTCAATAAATAGGCGGGTCAATAACTAACCCAACCTTGGGCGGATTGGGCGGGTCATTTGGGCTTGGGCCAAATATGACAGCCCTAACTTTTATCCATGTTTAAAATTGAAGTCTAAATTTTGTTTTGTAATGGAGAAGTCCCCAAGACAAGTGGCATGTACATGGTTCAAAACTCGATTGATATTGGGCCCACTCTTTTATCTTTCTTCTTTTAAATACCATGCATCCTTTTATATGTGGCAGGGTTTGAACCCGTAACGTCTAACCCATAGATTACGAGTCAGTTTTACCATTAGACCAAAACTCGAGGGCAATATATGAAGCCGGATATTTGTTGCAATTCTCTTTAAATTAAAATGGGGACAAGATATCCGAGACAAATGTTGAACATGCATTACGTAGTAATGTTAAGTATGATAATGGTGATTTTCATCATTTTGCTTCTTTTTTTTAGGTCATCTGAAGCAACAGATGTTCGTAAACTAATCTATGGAAGCACAGTTCCAGTCCTCCAAGGAGAGAAGCTTTCTCTAAGAACACTGGTAATTTTCATCTTTCTTCTTTTTTTAATTGCTTATTCCAAATTCTTGATTATATTGCGTACGCTTAAGTTTACTAAGTATCAATTAATGGGGTATTTTTTGTGAATGTAATAGGTGGATCATTCAATAGTAGAAAGCTTTGCACAAAATGGAAGGACAGCAATAACATCAAGGGTATATCCAACCAAGGCAATATATGAAGATGCTAAGCTCTACTTATTTAACAATGCTACAGATGTTACCATTACTGCCTCACTCAAGATTTGGCAAATGAATTCTGCAAATATACAATCTAGTTAACTTCCATCCCATATGTAGATTGTAAATTTTCAAAATTGTTGATTCTTCTTTTTTTGATTTTCCACCACCATTGTTTTGTGGCATTCTTTTATTTCTTTTCACTTCTTATTGTAATTTAATTTCATCTATCCCATTCTTCCTTTTCTTTTCGCCATGTATGTACTCTAGAGTTCCTATTGGTGAAATAGAAAAAGTTTCATTTTGAATCCATAAATCAGTGAAGTGGGCCTTTTCTCTGTGCTGCTTTGAAAAGTATTTAGGGCGATCTGCAGCTATAGCCACTTTTAAACTCGCTATTTCAAATATATCCACAATTTATAATTTCTTTAAAGATTGGCTAATTCACCCAAACTTTAGTACTAAGTATTCTGAATTTTCAAATTCAGGACTTAGTGTCCTGAATTTCTGAACTATTAATTTAAAATTCAGGACATAAGATTCAAATTTCAAGACACAATTTTCGAACTTTAGGACACGATTTGAATTTTGAGTGTCTAAACTCTAGGACGCCGTGTTCTGAAGTTTGAGCGAAGATGGCTAATTTTTAAATACAGTATAAACTGTGAATATATTTTAAACGGCATGCTTAAAAGTGGCTACCTGGTATCATTTCCACAAGTATTTACACAATAAGGTCCATTATTGAATAATTAAAGGCAAATATTTTAATAAGTATTAATTGCTAATCTAGTAAAAATGGTAACAAATCTATTATTACACGTTAAAATTAACTCTCCGCTCTCACTTTTTTGGGGGGGGGGGGGGGTATGGGGGGGTCCTCTACTCTTGTCTTCTTGGGGGATCAATAGTTGTACTTCTTTAGTTATTCCTCGTGACTCTTTTGTCTCTGCATTTGTGAATTAAATCTTGTGAGCTAAACAATAGAACAAAATGGACAGTTTACACATTATTCCAAGGAATTCTCTCAAATCTGCATAATCAAATGCTAGCTAATAATAGAACCATATGGACAGAGAGGAGAAAAAACTCCTTTTTCGACTACAAATGGGTCCCAAGTTTCGTGTTTAGTGTTCAGTATTTCCGACAATAACAAGCTTTTAACCTGAAGGTGATGGAATTATTATACACAAACATGATAGTATATTAAAAGGGTATCCATTTAAAGTTCATATCAATTTGAAATTTCTTTTGAAATATGATGAGATACTAGGTTAATTTCTCCTCTTTTTGTTGGCAAGGCGTTTGGTTGGCTAAACAATAAAATTTGAGAACATACTGTTTGAGCAAATAATTGCTAAATCAATTAATGTTAAATTTGATGGGGTGAATCTTAGTTGTATCTAATAAATTCTAGATCAAACGACACAAAACCCTTGTACAACGGATAGATTCTAGGAACAATAAACAGCGAAATTAATTTGCTATGATGGATAATGCATGTAATAGCATAACTGCATAATAAATGTAAATACGGACGAAGATGATAGGGGGAAAGGAACTACCACCCAATGATTATATGATTGGGAGGTTCCTTTCTTCTGAAGATCACGTGGGAAGGAAAACAGTTGAAATATGTATGGGATCTCGAGATTTATGAATAGAGATTGGACAACATGTGCTTGAATAAATGAATAAGACAACTCTTTTGTATATTCTTCTTTCAACTTTTATAATATGTTCTAGTTCCAAAAAGGCAGATCCCTTTTTGTTCCCTATCTTTTCCTATTTATAAGGGACATTCCCCAAAAAACCCTAAAAAGTACAACATAAAGAATATCCAAAGAAATATTCTTTATGCCTACTTCTGAATTAAACTTACCGTTACTATCCTATCTGAGCTGCCCACTTCTAGCGTCGGCCATTATGAGGATGACCTTCAGGCGTTGTGCTATGGTCGACCCCGTCTTTTGTCTTGCTTATCCGTTACCGTGGTTACCAAATTTGGACATATACAGTTAGTCCCTCCGCTTGTTGGGGTCATAGCCCCGCACGTCCTCGATAAGCCTCATGATCTTCCCCACTCCGGGAATACACCAGAATATCATCAATAAAAACAACGAGTCAAGATATGGCCTGAATACGCTGTGCATCAAATGCATGAAAGCTGTCGGGGCATTAGTCAGCCCAAAAGACATAACAAGGAACTCGTAATGACCATACCGAGTCCTGAAAGCAGTCTTCGGGATATCTGGCTCCCGAATCTTCAACTGATGGTAACCTGAGCGCAAATCAATCTTGGGAAACACCTGTGCGCCATGTAGCTGATCAAACAGATCATCAATACGAGGTAAAGGATATCGGTTCTTCACTGTAACTTTGTTCAATTGGCGATAATCAATGCACATACNATTAAATGTAAATACGGACGAAGATGATAGGGGGAAAGGACTACACCCAATGATTATATGATTGGGAGGTTACCTTTCTTCTGAAGATCACGTGGGAAGGAAAACAGTTGAAATATGTATGGGATCTCGAGATTTATGAATAGAGATTGGACAACATGTGCTTGAATAAATGAATAAGACAACTCTTTTGTATATTCTTCTTTCAACTTTTATAATATGTTCTAGTTCCAAAAAGGCAGATCCCTTTTTGTTCCCTATCTTTTCCTATTTATAAGGGACATTCCCCAAAAAACCCTAAAAAGTACAACATAAAGAATATCCAAAGAAATATTCTTTATGCCTACTTCTGAATTAAACTTACCGTTACTATCCTATCTGAGCTGCCCACTTCTAGCGTCGGCCATTATGAGGATGACCTTCAGGCGTTGTGCTATGGTCGACCCCGTCTTTTGTCTTGCTTATCCGTTACCGTGGTTACCAAATTTGGACATATACAGTTAGTCCCTCCGCTTGTTGGGGTCATAGCCCCGCACGTCCTCGATAAGCGGACATCATTTATTTTCATCGTGGGAGAATTTGGTCATTAGATCACGCTGGGTCGACTAAAATCGAGAGAACGACACGACCTGCGGAACCCTGATTGGTATGGTTGTCGAGATGTGACGTCATTGCCACGCGCGTCATCATTATGCATCTTCCCGAGACAGCGTCAGTGTGCTTGTCGCTTTGGTTTTAGCACCATTGACAATCCTTTGCTTCGATTTTCGTGCCACCCAGCCCTTGTCACACCTCCTTTTGACCTACTACACCCCGTGAAGGGATATAATAAGGGAGTTATTTCTAACTTGAAGTGACAATCGAAACGGGATTATTTAATTAAAATCAGAGTCGCCACTTGGGAGATTAATGGTGTCCCAAGTCACTGGTTAAATCCCGATCCGAGGAGATTATGACTCTGTTAACAGTCCGCGAACCAGAACTCCGAGTAACGAAATCTGTTAACCCGGGAGAAGGTATTAGGCATTCCCGGATTCCGTGGTTCTAAGCACGGTCGCTCTTGTATTTGCTTTTATCTGATTTTAAAACACATTCTAACCTATATGCCTTTTAGTAGTAAACCGTTTTTATTGTTATTTTTAATAAGAATTGCAACGTCGTGAAAATGCGTCTCGAACCACGTCGCACCAGTGCACCCGTAATTGTCAACACATTTCAACTTCGTTGATATTTGGATTTGGGTCACATAAATGTGCACCCACATTTAGGAAAGTAATATTATTAAAATACGCGCCTAAAGCAACTATGCGTTTATTATCTTTGAGGAAGACCGTGAAATTCGCTAAACGGTCCGCCCGGATTCTAAGTATTTTATATAACATATATTGAGGGCCCTGCGATTTATGCATTTTATTTGGCGAGGCTCACCTTGTTTATTATTTAAAGGCAAACCTAAAGCAATCTATAATTTTCTGTTTTTATTTGTCTCTAATAATAAAAGAAGAAGCCCTAATTAATTATTATTGTTCAAAAGCTACTATCCTCTTGGGTCCGTGACTTTTATAAGAACTTCATTAGTTTCCTTTATGCCTCAAGCTTAGCCCAGGAAGAATACATAACCCAACAGATTCGTGGGGTCTCACACGATTTGATTTCAGCCCCAAAAATTAACAAATGGGCCAAACAATTGCAAGCTCAAAACAGCCCAGATTTCATATCAGCGTTGGATTTAATATCACAGCCTAATTACTTTATTTATTTACCTACCAGTGACTTCTTAGCTGTTCAAATCAGTCAAATTGATATTGCATACTTAATTCAAGTGAACTACTAATATTAACTACTCACTTAGAATTGTCAATGCTTACATTGAAACAATGAACTCAAGGAAATGCATGCCTCGACATTAATAACTAATCTGCTTATATCAACTACTGCATTACGAAGTTGTTCAAGACGCACGTTCAGCTTAAAATTGAACTCGATGTGGCCATCACATTGATTTTAACTTAATTGCAGGTTTAAACTACTTCTGATTTTTAATTTTAAACAGAAAAATGCTAAACCAAAGCAAGTACTAGCTGTGCTAAGACTACAGCTAAGTAACCACAAATTTAACTGTCCAAATCAGTCCAATTAAGTGCATACCAAACCTGAATTATATCAGACACATACACACTAACTAACATATTTCTAACTGTTAATATACACAGTTCAAATGAACACGTAGTGTGACGCAGAAAACGTGAACATGCTCATTTCTTTTCTATCTCAACAGTTACATCAGGGTGATTCTGAGACGTGTACCTGAAGAATGAATCAAACAGAAAAGGAAGAAGTCAGCTGCAGTAACAATTCCCAGCAGTAGTTCAGGAACGTGTTTAAAACCCAGCAGCAATCAATAAATGAGTATAATAGCCCAGAAAGTATTCAGCAGTTCAGGATAAGTTGGAAAACCAAGCAGAATCCACAGATCAACCCAAAATAGCACCAAATAGCCAGAAATGAACCCAGCACTAATACAACCAGTAAACAACCAAAAATCAACTCGAACTAAGCAAATCTCATGCACATCTGACTCGAACAACTTGTAAATATCAATGTCGAGCAAAATCAGGTGAGTTCAAGTTACTTCTGATCCTTAACGAGCTAGAAAATTGGATTAGGGACTGGAATCTGAAAGTGAGCTAAGGAGAAATTAATGAAACAGTAAAAAAAAATTTTTTGATTTTCTGTTATTTTTCTGGAAACTTGAGAAGACTAAGATCTAAAGGAGTTGGATTTCAAATTTCAGATCTGAAACTTGTGAGGAATCGGAGGGGATTTTTGTGAGGCTCCCAAAAACTTGTGAGTCAAGGCAAATGAATGCCTATTTATAGGTGAACTTAGGTCCAATTTCAGATTTTCC